TAAAAAAGAATGTAATGGAAAAATATTCTTAAAATTTTTTACTTCATTTATGACACTCAAAATTGCCAAAAAATAATAATAATCGCATATTTTTAAAATATTTTTTTTTACAACTTTTGAACTGTAATATTATTTGAGCGAATTAAGGACTGATGATCGGTACTAATTTCACTATATTTTATCAATATTACCTCACATTTCCTTTTACCAACGAAATATACTTTCATATTTATATAAATACATATTATATATACAAACTGCTTATATAATTTTTATGATAAAAATCACATTTTGAAGGTCAATATTTGCATTATATTAAAAATTTATATGCACATAAAAATATAAAGTATCAATTCTTCTTAACTTAACTGGCCATAAGGAGGAAATAATAAAATGACGTGCTATATACATATCGATGTGTGTATATATGTATGTGTGTATACTTGATTCGTTTCTAAAAAATTCATAAATCATCGCGAATTTTATGACCGCAAAAATTTTGGCGAACGGATTTTTAAAAAATCTGCTCAAAGGAGAAAAAAAATTATGTATATTTAGATATAAAAATTAGTGCAAGTAAAATAATGCATATATGAAACAAAAAGCAAACTAGACAAGGAGTAGCCAAATTAATTAATTTAACTTAATTAAAAAAAATGCTTATTTTTTGAGCATTATTCTTTTTTAGTTTTCTCTATTAATTTAATTTTTTAATTTTTTTCATAATTTTTAATTTTTTTAAATTTTATATTTTATTTTTAAATATTTTTTTTTATTTTTAAATATGTGGAAATTCTTTAAAAGGGAATCAGGCTGTCTCTTATACACATCTAGATGTGTATAAGAGACAGTTTATATTGTTTTTTTTTTATTTTATATTTTATTTTTAAATATTTTTTTGGTATATTTTTCACAATTCTTTACTGTTTTTCATTGGTCTGTCTCTTATACACATCTAGATGTGTATAAGAGACAGGTATAGCCCATTGAATAATTGTAAATATTTATAGCAATACTTTTTAATTTTAATTTTTTTAACTACACATTTTTTGTGTGGGAATTTTAATACTTATGTTAAAAATATTATGGTTAAACATTTGGTACATCCACAAATTATATCTAGGTCAAAATTTCTGCCATAAAGTAAAGAAAAATTAATCAGGTAGCTGCAATAAGTCAATATGCTACCAAAGTAGGCTTGTATGTATGTATGTACATTATGTGACTTCCAAGCCAGCTGGCAATAAGCAACTGTTGTGGCAAGTGCTTGTATTGCTGCCAATTGTATGTTTATATATACTTATATAAATATATAGCAAAATATACAACAACAAAAAGCTTTCTGTTGGTTATTGTTGTTTTTGTTATTGTTTCTGTTGGAAGCAACTATCGTCGACCTCTTAAGCTCTGTCTCTTATACACATCTAGATGTGTATAAGAGACAGGTGGATACCTGTCGAACATAATCTTTTTTTTTTTTTTTTTTTTTTTTTTTTTTTTTTCTTTTTGTTCTTTTCTTATCTTTTTTTGTTCTTATTATTATTTTTCTTTCATCTGCCAAACTATACCCACTCGCCATACAAGTATTTGGTCACACGCTTGCTGCGGCGGCATTTCAAAAATCAAACTTAAATAAATTATTTGCCTTATAATTTTACTTCTTAAGCGAATTTGCATCATTTGCACATTAACGGCAATTTTTATTCGCACAAATAGTCTGAATTCAAAAATATTTTCCACATATTGCCTTCGGCGACAGAACCGAAGTGTCTTAAGTCTGCTGAGTGCAACGGTTATTAATATGCATATGAGCTGTTATGTACTGACTCTTTTACTCACATTCGCACATTTGTGTGTGCCTTTGATTTTCAAATGTATTATATGGTGACACTTTAAAGTGCTCGAAGTTCAATAAAATTTAAAAGCGAATTCTTTTTGCAATAATGTTTAAAATATTATGGCGAATAACGTTTAAGCCGAATTTGGTAGCTATTAGACTTCAGCGAGTAATACAAATGTATCCGAATGTACATACATACATATATAGCTGTCTCTTATACACATCTAGATGTGTATAAGAGACAGCCATTAAACTATTTTTATTTTAATTTTTATTTATTTTTTCTAAGCTGCCTCTACAGTTAGATGTGTATAAGAGACAGCCATTAAACTATTTTTATTTTAATTTTTATTTAATTTTAATATCATTTTTTATTTTAATTTTTATTTAATTTTAAGTTTTATTTTTTCTAATTTTAAAAACCTTAGTTTTGGCCCTTACCACCTATTTTTGAAGAAACATT